GTAATTTTTCCACAATTCTTGCCATTTACATCACAGGTAGCGGAGGGTAAGCCCTATCTAGTGGTATAATTAGATTAAGGGAGCTTCCCTCATCTTCAAAGTGCTCTATTTTCTTTGGTTGCCTCTATTATATACATTGGGATTTGCAACCTTCCCTCTGTAGTGGGGTCTTTTTCACCTGGGGTCTTCTACGGTTGGCCAACCATCTCTTTATCTGAAGAATCGAACAATTTGTAGACAAATCCTGCTTGATACAACTAGTTTGGAAGGATAATCAACCAGATAGAGTTTATTGTGCAATCTGACAATTTGGCAATTTATTGATAAAAGCAAATGGTTTATAAAGGTTTAGTTTCAATAGATCTTTATTAGTGGTACTGAATCAAAATAATACTAAAAATTAATTGGTTACCGTTCAACATCCAGAGTCCCTTCTTTACTTCTTGGCTTCTGAGGCTATTTTCAGACCATTCGATATTGCCTAGCTGAGTCAAAGTATTCTGTGCTATTAGGAGCACTCAGATGTCCATCGCAAAGTAAACTGAGCAGCATTCAGAGGTGAAATGTAGTGATTGTAGCATTTACCCAACACCATGAGTGGAGACTGCATGTAGGGGTTAAATAGAACTAACTTTATTGGAGCTGTGCAGTATTTACTGCAAGTATTTATAGCCACCGAGAGTCAATTACATACAATAAGGTAATTAAACAGTGCATACATTTCCCCATCTAGTATTCTTCCCATAATTCCTTAATTTTCTTGCTGAAAACAACCCTCAGACCCACCAAAACAAACAAATGCTCAGCTCCATTTTGTCCATATAATTCTAACAACCTGAAACAATGAAGGTCCCTTGTAAAATGGCCACCCAAGCTATAGGAAGCCCTGACTTGCAACCCTGGGTCCATGACAACTCGGATATGTTTAATAAAAAAAAAATGTAATTCTTTTTTTTATTTGCGCATGAAATGACAGCAAGCGTGCAGAGCCACGACAGCTGCTGCAAGCAGTTTCATAGCATTACATATCGTGACAGGTTAAACAGCGCAGTTTTTTTTTTGGGGGGGTGAAGGTAACAAGCTATAAGACATTCATGGTTAAATGTGTACATGTCAAGATTGTTCTCGCTTAATGTTACAGTGAGGTGTTTACAGATATGCAGGTTCTCGCTTGGGTGATTACATATGATTTCGTAGGATATGTTGCATTGTGGTTGCCATGTGTTGGTTTGTGCTTTGCTAGTGTGGCAGCATTACCTATGTGAGTGTGTGGCTTAAGCAGTGCAGTAGCTAGTCTATGAGTGATATAGTTAACTCTGGTTTGCCACACTAGTGAATTAGACAGGCTAGAGCTATTAAAACATATAATGACATTCAAGCTAGGTCTTTTGAGATTGTCTTAGCAAAGTTGGTGTTGTCAACAGTTGAACTAAAGCAAAAGGTCACGCCGATCAGTTTAGTAGATCAATATAGAGAAGTTTCAAACATGCATGGATTTTTCCACCCCAGGTTAACCCCCCCCGTCAGCCAGATGAGAGTCAGTATCTGTGTGCCGTGAGGCTTGCCTCTGAAGTGTAGTGACTGCAGAGGGGCTCAAGCTTGGGACCAGCCATATTAGGTGCAGTCCAGGCAAGTGGCAGAATGATAATTCTCTTTTGGTGTACTTGTGGTTTGGTACAGTGTCTGCCTCGGGTGGCAGTTAGATCCCTGCATTCGTTTTCTTGGTGACTTCACAGCTGCGGGCTATCGATAAGTGTGAGTCTGCTTCCTCGCGATGCTCTGAGAGGATCAGTGTACAGGGGTTCGTCGCAGGTGCCATGTCTCTCACTTTGAGGGTCCTCTCTATATGCGCACATGGATGTGCTTGAGTGGTAGTTCTCCGGTGTCGGTCTCTGCTGACCGCTTGTGCAGCTGTTTGCATGGATGCGACGTGGTTCCGGTTTCTCCGCCATCGTTCAGCTTTACCCGGAGTGGGTCTTGGCAGGTACCTGTTGGTTTCTACGTGTCCCGTGTCAGTTTGCTGCCAGTGTAGGGCGGGTGCGTCTGT